GGGCGCTGGGAAGTGGGGAGAACAGAGACCAGGCTACCGGGCACCCCCGCCGGTCTGGGTGACCCTCGGGTACAGGGTGGCGCCGTTTGAAAGGCCGAGCCCCTCCAAGGAGAGAACTGTTAAAAACAAAACAAAACAAACTAGTACCTAACGCTGCCTCTTGCTTCTCGACTTTCCAACGGGCGGTTCTCATATAAAGGAGGAAAATTTAGATTTAAAAATCGAGGGAGAGCCCTAGTTGGCAAATTCACACCAAGGCATCGGACGCACGCACGGAATAAAGAGACGAAAGGGTCATGCTTTACCGAGATCACCAGCGGCCCTCAAAGATTATGGCGAGACTGTGACCATTATCATCCACCTCCCAAATCAGGCTCCTTGACCTTGACGCTTGAAATTGGGATTCTTTGGGTCTAGGTTTAGGAACCAGCACCCTGAATCAGTAGCCTAGTGAAATCTGCAGAAGTCCCTTTCCGATGGGACCCTGGTCTGTATCCCCAGCACCAGCATCCTTCAGCGCAGGAAGGAGGATTTGCATTGCTCATAAGTAGAGTCATAATGATCAGTGTTGTTTTAAACCTGGGGTGCTCAGCAAATATCTGTTGAGTTCTGGCAGCTTGTCTTCTCACGTGCTGGACTCCAAATAAGGGTTAAAATGCCCTAAAAATACTTAAGATTGAACAAGTGATGGATGATGCTATGTGGGACAGACAACTGTCCTCATTTCATGAACTTGGAAACAGACACTGACAGACTTTGGACTGATCCACTTTGATCCTTCACAGTAAAGACTGGCATTGGAACCCAGCTCTGATTAACATACTATACTTACTGTAGATGTCATTTTTCAACCCACGTAAGTTTTGAGGGGGCAGTGTTCTGCTTCACTGGCTCCTGCCTATGTGTCAACCCAAAACAAACTCATTCCCAGCGAGGCCATTCTTACTCTTAGAGACCCTCTGAGACAGAGTAGAGCTGACCCCCTGGTCTCTGAGGCTGTACTCATTGCTGAAGCAGAAAGTCTCATCTTTCTTACTCTTACTGGGTGCTGTGTTTGAACTGCTGAGCTAAGAGTGAAGCAGCCCAACTCATGGCCCACTACGCATCCAAAGCTATTACCTTTGGGTAATTAAACTGTGTTTTCCATTACAAATAAGTGTAGGGTGCTAAATGCTGTGAGGCTGGAAGACCATTCACACAGAAGTGTAATTGTACTTAGCTGCTTCCCTAGCCTAACAACTAATAGGTACCTCAGGTACCTAACAACTAATAGAGACCTCTCATGTCTGGACAGGGGGGGATATTATAAAGCCTGTGAGGACTGAGAGTGGTGGGGAGATGTTCAAAGACACCTGCAGCAGCTACCTGCTGACCCTCTCAGGAGTTGTGCCTACTAATGTTTTCAGAGCATTTTGTTGGCTGTTACTCTTTATATTTGTTTCCAAGGACTACCGAAATAAAGTACCACAAACTGGGCGGTTTGGAAGAACAGACACATATTATCTCAGTTCTGGAGCCTGAGAACCACTAGCCAGAAGAGAGGCTGAGTCCCTGGAGCAGTGACCTGCGGTAGGGCAGCAAAGCAATTCCCACTGGTACAGCAGAGAAGGAACCCCGGAAGAAACAAATTCTTCCACTTCTCTCTGGTTTTAGAAGCCCTGATGCTTCCTGGTTAATCGTTCAGCAGCTAACTGAAAGGTCAGGAGTTCGAACCCACTATCTGATCCACAGGAGAAAGATCAGGAGGTCTGTTTCCCTAGAGATTTACAGTCTTGGAAACCAGCCTTGGAGGACAATTTTACTGTAGAATCACTATGTGTTGGAATCAACTTGCAGACAGGTGTGGCAGCCAATAAGGATGATCTATCCAGGTGCAAAGAAAGCTAGAGTGGATCTGAAGAGTCAACCGAAAAGTAACCAGCATTTTCCATGTGTATAGTCTTGTCTCTCATTTGGATTAAATTATTTAATTTTTAAAAAAAGGAAGAAAATTTAAAAACCTATCAGTTCCTCCTAATGAAGTCAAACTCAATCCTACCCTACATGGAAGCTAAATTGTAATATAAACTGCTACCTGTGTTCTTCATACAAGGTAAATGGAAAAGGAGATAAATAAACAATTATCATCAACTATGAGGGAGCTTCAAAAACTCATGGAAAATTCCTTTCTCTTTTAGCTCCTTTTCCTTACGAACTTTTTATAGTTCTTTGGTATAGATGCTACAGTGCCTTCTTCTGAGACCAGTCATAGGGCACTATTTTGTAGCGATCACTTCCTTTACTCCTACTCTCTGAGTATCATGGCATGTCGACTGTTTTATTTTGTCTGGTTTTTTTTTTTTTCAAAACTGTTTAACCCCTTCAAAAACCAACGCACTTCCTGCTTGTGCGTTGATTCCAACTGATAACAGTCCTACAAGACAGGGTAGTAGAACTCCCCAGTGAAGTTTGCAAGGCTACTATGGAAACAAGACTACCACATCCTTCTCCCTGGACCAGCTGGTACATTCAAACCACCAGCTTTTAGGTGAGCAACTTGAGTATCTTACCCACTGCACCACGTGAGTTCCTTTGAAACTTGATTGGGGAACCCAAACGTTCATTCCTTCTAAGGACTTGTCTTTACCAGGTTATCAGTCACCTTCCCACGGACCCTTACATACAAGCAGCGCCTTCGATCTAGACATCATCATCCATGCATGAGTATGCAGCTGCATCCCAATTTTCCCGTGGCAATCGGGATGAATCACCCCATCCAGGAATGTGAGCTCCTTTTCCTGTTGGTCCTGCAACGTGAGAAACTCAACATTTCCAGGGCTCAGTCTCAGCTTCTCATTCACAAGGCTGTGTTTTTACTGGAGGAAATCTTTCTCCCTTGGGTATCTGAACCTATAAGCCCAGCAAGATGTGAAATGAGATGTAAGACTTTGGTAGGTAATAGTGAGAGGGATGCTAATAGGTAATAGTAGGTTGGCCACTCTCACTTCCACCCTGTGGTTCCTAGACCAATGTATTTTGTTTAGCCCTATAACGCCTGAATTTTTAATTTCAGGAAAAACAATTTTTTGTTTTTATTCTTTACTTTCATAGTTATCAATATATATTAATATATACATTTACTTAAATCTTACAAAAACATCACGCTCGGCGTTATAGGGATAAAGGAAATGACACCGTATAACGGCTGCAAATTTAAGGTGTGTACTTTTGATGGAGCCCGGTCAGGTAAACGTTGGATTGCTAACCTCAAGGTTGGCTGTTCAAACCCAATAGCTGCTCTGTGGGTGAAAGATGAGACTGTCTGCTCCTGTAAAGATGTCAAGTCTCAGAAACCCTATATAGGGTCATCATGAGTCTAAATCCACTCGATGGCAGCAGGTGGATAATAAGGCTGTCAGCTGAGGGCCAACCTCACAGGGTGTTGGCCCCCAGATGGTGCCAACCTGATTTCTGGCTGCACAATTTTATATTTGTATCAGCAGTGTATGAGGGTTCTCATTTCTCCACATCCTTTCCAACTCTTGTTTTTGTCTGGCTTTTTATTCTAGTCACCCGAGTGAGTGTGAAATGTTATCTTGTCATGATTTTTATTTGCATGTCCTGGCAGGAAAAGATACCATGTATCTTCTCATGTGCTTCTTGGCCATCTGTAGGTCTACTTTGAAAAAATGTGTATTCAGAGCCTGTGTCCATTTTTAAATTGGGTTGTTTGTCTTTTTATTTTTGAGTTGTCAGGGTTCTCATATCCCAGATCTAAACCCCTGTCTTAGTTATCTAGTGCTGCTCTCCCAGAAATGTTATCTAGTACTGCTCTCCCAGAAATGCCACGTGCGAATGACTTTAGCAGAAAGACATTTATTTTCTGACAATTTAGGAAGCGAATCTAAATCCATAGTACCAGCTCTAGAAGAAGTTCTCTCTCCGATGGCTCTGGAGGAAGGTCCTTGTCTCTTCGGAGTTTCTGCTCCTGGGCCACCTTCATATGCTTGGCATCCTCAGCCCGTACCAACCCCCCTCGCCCCCACCCCAGTGTCTCTCTTTGCTTGCTTGCCTCTGCTCCCTAGCTTAATCTCTTCTATCTCAAATGAGATGCACTGAAGTACACTCCATACTTACCCTGCCTAAGGAGCCTAACTCAGCCAGCCCATTCCCAAATGTGATTCTAATCACAGACATAGCAGCTGTGATTTACAACACATATTTCAGAGCGATATAATTCAATCTAAGAAGCCCTGTTGGTGCGGTGGGTCATGCAACCATCGGCTGCTCCAAAGGAGAATGTGAGGCTTTCTACTCCTGTAAACCTTTCTACTCCTCAGAAACCTACAGGGGCAGTCCTACCCTGTCCTGTCGGATCTCCATGGCAGTGAGTTTGGTTTTCGGCTTGTAATTCAATCTCTACCATTTCATCCATTGACTCCACAAAATCCATGCCCTCGCCATAGACAAAACACATTCACCTCATCCCATCGTCCTAGAGTTTTAAATCAACTCTAAGTTCAAAACTCTCATTTTCTGAATTATTTTTAAAA